GTCAACAAGCTTGCTACAAGTTGTTCCAACAAGTGTGATTTGTCTTGTTGTCAACAAGCTTGTTACAAGTTGTTCCAACAAGTGTGATTTGTCTTGTTGTCAGCAAGCTTGTTACAAGTTGTTCCAACAAGTGTGATTTGTCTTGTTGTCAACAAGCTTGTTACAAGTTGTTCCAACAAGCGTGATTTATCTTGTTGTCAACAAGCTTGTTACAAGTTGTTCCAACAAGTGTGATTTGTCTTGTTGTCGACAAGCTTGTTACAAATTGTTCCAACAAGTATGATTTGTCTTGTTGTCGACAAGCTTGTTACAAGTTGTTCCAACAAGTGTGATTTGTCTTGTTGTCAACAAGCTTGTTACAAGTTGTTCCAAGAAGTGTGATTTGTCTTGTTGTCAACAAGCTTGTTACAAGTTGTTCCAACAAGTGTGATTTGTCTTGTTGTCGACAAGCTTGTTACAAGTTGTTCCAACAAGTGTGATTTGTCTTGTTGTCGACAAGCTTGTTACAAGTTGTTCCAACAAGTGTGATTTGTCTTGTTGTCGACAAGCTTGTTACAAGTTGTTCCAACAACTTGCTACAGGTCTGCAAGACAACAAGTTTTGACAAACTTGATGCCAACAAAATTTTGTTGGCATCTCACTCGAATGAAACACAACACCCTTCAAATATCGATGCCAACAAGTTTGTTACAACTTGATAAAATAGCAAGCTTGTTAGGCCTACAACTTGACAACAAGCTTGCTACAAGCTTGTTTCGTCAACAAGGGTCTAAATCACGACTTTACTACAGAAATGGGGGCCCAAATTATTTCACTCGTGCGATAGCGAGGTCAACCTTGGGTCAACATATCTTTCATTAAAAATACTTAATTAAGATGCACAGGCATTGATTAAATCATATACATCATTAATGAAAGTGAGCATTAAAAAGACATTATTTTGTCATCAGTGAAATCAACTTCCCGTTTGCATTTTGCATTAAGTCCACATTTGCAAACTTAAAGTAACTAAATGGTTTATGTTTGTTGTACCTCCTCGAAATAATATTCAACAATGGAAAAATCGTCCAACTTGTATGACAAGTATTCGACGCATTTTAAAAACAATTCAAAGTATTCAGCTGAAGTGAAACTCAATATTTTTGATGAATTTACTTCATGTGAGATTTTGTTTGTGGTTTTAGTAAAGATCCCAACAGCAAGCCAGCAAAACACGCGCAGAGGTATAAATAAGGGGGGTCATTATGGCAAATGCTCCACCTGATAGCCTCGTCTCTCCCCGTGAGCTCTATACACACGGGAGGGAGGGGGGGGGAGAATGTTTGTCCACATTACATCACATCTTTCCAGCATTTTCGACTATTATCTTACATATTTCTTGCTTTTCAATTTATTTCCCCAAATCTTTTCGCTCAACTTACGTTTAAAATTTGCCCAGCTTCAATTTTTCTGGGGGAGGGGGCAGCTGGCCCGCCCCTACCCCCTGTCTCGTACTCTTAGTCTGGAGTAAAAACTACAGTCAATCGGTCATTCTATGAATTAGGTCGTGAACAGTTTTGATACCACATTCCCCAGCTATAGTATTATTCCTTAAATCGAAGTCTAAACACGAAATTTTTGCATACTCCTTGTAGACCGCGCAGACAAAAACAATAGAAAGGGACTGGTACTGACATCAATTTCTGCCATTTTTGCAAATTCTATCAACCTCGTACCCAGGGCTTCTGCGCTGCAGAAGCCCTGGGTACGAGGTTGAAATTCTATAAGTTTTGCTGAGGATTTGTAAGAAATGTTTGATGGAACTGGCTCTCAGTGTTAAACATTGAGTCAGTAATTCCCTCAAAAATTTCTTACAAACACTGAGTTAGTCCCCTCAAAAATTTCAAACAAATCCTTCAAAAATTAGAATTTAGCCATGCAAAATTCCTACTGTGATCAGAGAAACGTTGATACATTACAGTAAATCGTTAAAATGATTTGTCCCTGAAATCAAACTAGCAAAAATTCAGAATCAAATCATCCGATAATATATCGAGAGATTGGGAGAAATTAACAGTATTAAATTAGCTCATATATGTGTAAAGTTTTTAGGCGACAAAGCGGATATTGGTTTTTGAATATATCCGCATTTTCATAATCACCTAATTCCCTATCAACTATACATAATTGTGCTTCGATCTTTGCCAAAAATTTCAAACTCTATAATCACGCAATTACATTCTTGAAGCACTACACTCAAAGAGACAAAGTAGAAGGTCAAGGAAAATCATACTTATTTTTGGCCTAAATATTCTGACTCTTGTATACTCATGCAAATATAAGAAACTTTAAGTTTTCTTTATGACTTTAATCAAAATTCATCAACTATAATTGTCTTTAGATTATAAGCTGATATTTTTTGTGTAGTACTTTAAAGAATATCTTATTGAATCATATACTTACTTTAGCAGAATATTATATACGTTCAAATATAAGAAGTCTTAGATTTTTATTTATTAATCAGAAATAATCGGTAATTGTCCTTAAAGTTAAGACCTTATACTTCCATTTTTTGTTTTCTTTCATTTTTTTACTAACTAAAGAAATAGGATTATTGATAATAGTCTTTGGCAACTACATTTTTGTTTCCTTTCGTCTTTTGTGAAGAGCAGGATAAACGAGATTATAACAAAACATGAAAAGGCAGAGTTCCTTGTTGAATAATAAAGTCCCAAGCACTGTTATTAACATCACAAGTGCCCAAATTTCATCTCATTAACTAACAAGAGTCGTTCAAGAGACATACTTCAAGAGAATACAGCACACACGCGTTGTATATATACGTGCATGTATAATTCATTAAAAAGACTCACAAAAAATTGAAGTTAAACATTCTTATTTCGAGATTCTGTGTGACTAAAACAACCAGAAATTAATTCTATTAAGCTTTGTCTTAAACAGTCAAAGTCAAATATATGCCTGCTGCAATTAATTTTGTAATTCGACAAAGAAAGCATTCTCTTTGAACAAACAGAAAAATGTCAAAAATATATGGACGTGTATAAAGTGCCAGTCGCTCAAAGATTTCCTTGCGTGCCTTTAAGGCTTTCAGCAAGTTAACAAGGTAACAGTTTGCGTAGGATGGGCAAAAAAGGACCTTATAGAGTTTAGTTTAAGATTATTTTCGCGCCATTATTCGAGGGAATCGGATACAAAATACAGAACTGATCGGAATTTTAGCATTTGTATATGTGTTTTACTTTTAGCGTTCCATGCACAAGGAACAAATAATCAGAGACCACAAAACAGGCATTTAATAATTGTTTGCTTTAGTTTTATAATTTATGGACATTAAACAGTCAACGTTAATGGATTTGTGGTTGATCTGTATACAGCCACAGGTGGAGCTATATATAGACCATGAATTATTGCATGGCAAGGGAGGGACGCATGCATTTCATTTAATCTTAAAGTGTAATATTTGTTATCTACTTGTTATAAGGTGCATTAAGCTTGTTAGCAGAGCTAAACGCGCATTAATTATAAACTTTTGACAGCGTTCGACCGAAAAATTGCAACTGAAAACACTCCTCTCTAATTATTAAAAAAGCGACTAATTCCTGGCTATAATCTATATGTATATATGATTTGTAATTTGTCGGCGAAGCTTTCGATATGAGGGGTGTATACTCTAAAATAGTCCGGCACACTACCTCAGAAATTCAAAGAAAACTTTCAAAAAAACCCAAAATCCTGCCAAAATTTGTCAGAATTTCTAAAGTTGCCTTGAAATCCCCAAATTCTATAGAAAGTGCGCATAGAGTCCCTCTCAAAATTAAATCGAAAAATCCGTAACAAAATCCCCTTTGAAATTTCGAGAAAGATGAAATACTGTCTATACCAAAGGGAAGCTTTAAAGACCATTCCCTTAATTCACAACCCTATAGCTGACGTTTCACGAAGACTTCTGTGAAAGGATCGAAATATGACCATTGCATCCATTGCATTTTTATACTATCTTGTATGAATTGTAATTGTATTATTTGTATACGATTGAGTACTTTAAAATTATTTGCGAAATTTAATTAACATGTTGTAATTCAGTTCTAGAAGCCTGCAATAATTGCGAGAATACTACATATGCGTTAATTATCGTGTATAAAATGTAGCCTATAAATAAGATATCTATGTATAAAACGGATATATTCGCAATGGCGTAGCCAAGGGGGCAGTCCTTCTGCCCCCCCCCCCCCCAATGGGAACGATGTGTGAATAATGATACCCACCTCTTCTGTTTACCAATCAAAGTTGTAGTGGGGGGAGGGCAAGGGGGTGGGGGCAAGGGGGGAGGGGACAGTCCTTCAGTCCTCATGCTATTTTGCTGTTGTATTTGCGTGTACAGTGCAACGTTTCACAAAAATACTTTTTCGACCTAACAACTTAGGCAACTTAAAAATGGCTTTTTGTGGTTGTAATTTTTTTTCTTCAAACATCGTGCCAAAATATTCTAACGAATCTAGAAATTCAAATTTTCCCAGGAGAGCATGCCCCCCGAACCCCCTAGATTCCTCATTCGAAATGCCACAAACATTTTGGCCCCCTCCCAATGTTTAGAACTGGCTACGCCATTGTATATTCGTATATTGTACAGTCAAAGTTACACATCTCAAGGCTGGTTACAGTCTTTTGTCAGAATTTTGCAAAGGTAAATTCTAGGTTTTGAAGGATTTGTAAGAAATGTTTGAGGAAACCGACTTACTTAGTGTTAAACACCGAGTCAGTTTCCTCTTACGAATCCTTCAAAACCTACATTTACCAATATAAAATTCCTAGAAAATTCACAGAAACTTTGATAGTGTAAACCACGCTTTAATAAAGCTAGATTATGCGTGTTGTGGAAGAATGAAACTCTCTGATCATACCATTCGCGACTCGTGTTAAAAATATCTTTTGATCAAGTCCAAAGGTGGTTGCTTTGCGCCCTTGAAAATACTCGTTGATATATAGTGTGACCTCATGAGCCACTCACTACTTTAAAGCATTTGCGTCATGCTTCCTTGCGTGTTGAAAAACAAGTGACAATAATAGGCGCACGCATTAATGCAATCTAATTCTACTGTTTGTGTTGCGTTAAGTGGAATTTTCCATCATTGTTCAGCAATTTGCTCTATAATCAGGAAGACAAAGACACATTTGGTTAATGAGACCGAGGAATGCAACAACTGACACCTCCGAGGGGGGAGGCGCGAGGTGAATAGAACTCTTTACGAGTCGAGTGTACTACCTCTAAGAGTTTCTATAATTTTCCATCAACTCTTTACCATCAAAAGCTCTTCAGATGCTCGCTTCGTATTGGCTACGACACGCCTGCCCTAAGTTGGACCTGTCCGGTTACGGGTTTGAGAACATAATGCGATTGTCAGGGAAGTCAAACAGCAATTAAGCACAACCAATCGTCGCTAGGAATTAAGTGTCAAAATTTTAATCTCCTCTCATGACTTCTCCACCCACAAGACAATTTGTGAGTAAAAAGCTGAAAGCATTTGTCGAGTAGAGGAAACGTCCCACGTCCTGTACTTAAACAGAGCAAAGTGCTCAACAAAACAACACAAGTCATAAACATAACGCCAGTTGTCCAACGCTTCATTACAGTTCAGGACGCTTCGCAATGGCCTCGAATGAAACTCGATTTACTCCGTTCGGTATCAGCGACATTCTGAAGACACAAGCTCATGAAACGTGCCCGAACGCACAGGAAAAACTCGCAGAGGAGTTATGCACCAAAGCGCAAACGGAAAATGGTTTAAAAGACACAAATGGCCAAGAGACGCCACTCGGTTCGAACAATGCGGGGAAAATGAAAACTCTTGAAAACCCAAGCCAAACGCAAGGTAAAGTTTGAAAGTTTAATTTATATTTTGTATTAGTACGTACTGAATTAAACCTCTACAGCCTTACTGTAGAGCCATATATTATCAAGAGAATATAATAACAAATATATCATACCAAAAACCCAAGAAATGTCAACACAAAAGTTGATTCAAGTCAGATTTTAATCTGCGTATTAAACTGATGGAATAGCGCAAATTCAAATATATTTAAAACTCGTCAAGAAAATATAACAACACCATATTATTGAAATACATGTATAGCAAGTATTTTCAATACAATGTCAACGCGACACCACTGGAAAGCGCCGAAATTCAAATCTGTATATATAGACTCAATATTGCTCTATTTTTATAGAACCATCTTCAAGAGAATTTATAGTACTTCTTAATATTCATGTAGTAAAAAGCCAACGGTATTGATTGTCAACACAACGTTGACTCACGTCAACTGACTCTATACCATTTGAGCTATCGAAATATCACACCGATTGGAAGAGCGTCAATTTAAACTAATCTATTTAAAACTTAATACAGCTTTATTCCATAGCCAACACTAGAGATAGTATAATGCAATAAATATTATAGTACTAAAACCTAATATTGTCTTGTTTTTATCATCTTGGGCTGTTGAGCAAGTCAAGCGGGGAAAAGCGCAAATATATATTTCCTAAAGTTCTATTTCAGAATTATAAACAAGAGAATATTATAACCGATTCAAGCCAACTTACTTAAGCCAACTGACACCCAACCAATTGAGACTGAACAATTGTCCACTTACGGCTAAAATTCTAGAGCATTTCAGAGCAGACTCACTGGCTACCATTCGAGTTTCTTGTAAACAACATTTTAATGCGTTTTACAGCGAACAGACGAACACTATATACATACACTTTGCTGTACTAAGCGCAGTAGCGCACCATTTCGTGGTAAAGTACTAAAGATTACATCTTTTGGTTTTGGAAATAAAATACTGCATGCAGATTTCATGATAATACTATAATCACACAACTAATATTTCACTCAACGCGCATGCTTCGAGTGGTCTTACAGGGAAGTAAATATCAATAAATGGACCATTATCGTTCCAGTATAAAATTGTTTAAATTTTTAAACAGTATACAACAGCGTATAATTGCTTTTATGCGTGATAGAAGTTTCGAAATTGCTTAAAATAAAGCGTTGTCTTGGCAAAAATCTTCTCAAAACTGTTTATAAAGAACAGTTGTATATGAACAAAGAGTTTCTAAGAGACTTAAGAAACTTTCAAACTCAGCAGATTTTTGCTTGTGTGGGCATGTAGTGCCATAATTCGTGATTAATTTCTTTTTATAAAAAAAAAACATGCAGAAAACACTGGCTTAGGCTTTAGCTGTAGATTAATTTTTGCATGCATACTCAGCTAAAAAAGTTTCATTTTTCAAAAGTATTTTATTTTATATACCATTCAAACTAAGGAGTAAGGATTTACACGTCAAGCCTGAAAGATTACCATGCAGGATAAGGCTGTAGCAGTGAAAAATATAACGAGTCCGAAGTCGACCTTAAGAAGTTCTGGAAGCAGAAAGGCTCGAAAGTTGAAGCCAGTCTTCTTAATATATTTTTCACTTTGAACTTTGATCCTGTATATTATTGTTGATTGCTACATATATCAATGAGATTTCGGTCTTCGAATTTCATTCCACACTCGAGACCAGAGGCAAAACTCAAGTTGAAGAGATCGGCATTTTTGCTAAAGAAAGTGTTAACAAGATTTAGGTGTTCAAGGGACAATCACGTACAATATTCTTACATATTTATCGGCTCAGTTTTATTGTATAAATAATTTATAAATATTACAATTATACGTAGGCCTATACAGTCTCAACCTTTGAGGTCATCACGTATGTTTGTGTGTGTGTGTCAGTGAATTACTCAATAGTTATATTCCGACCATCCAATGGATCATTCCCCAATTAACCAAAATTTTGATCTCAACAAGTCTAGACAAAATTCCATCATAGCATAAAAGAGCATCACAAAATTAGTAATATTCGGCAGAGTTTCGTTGCGAAATGTTGTAAAATGCGGATAATATAGCCTTGCGAAATTTGCAATTTTCAGTCATTTTAGATTACAAACGGGAAACGGTTACC